CCCCCCATAAAGGTACGTGGTCTCAAAAATGGGGAAAAAAGAGGGGAAAAAAAAACCCCAAATCCACCCCAAAAATGGGGGAATTCTGCCCCAAATCGCTGCTTTTTTACCCCAAATCCGAGCCGTTCCTGCAGGTTTGGCTCCCGTGGGTTTGCCTGAAATCGGCGTTTTTGGCCCCAAAAATGAGCGGCGCCGGGCTGCGTGCCTTCATTAGTGCTCATTAATTAATTAACGAGGTCTCCGCCGGCTTTGTTTCCTACTGGGGGAGGGAGAGCAGCGCGGAAAGGGAAGAATGAGGTGCAAATGAGATGCAAATGAGATACAAATGAGATGCAAATGAGATGCGCGAAGCCCGTCCGCGTCCCGTTGGCCGCTGCTATGGGGACGATTGGGGCAAAAATGGCCAAAATCGGTCAAATTGTCGGCGTGGGCCCAAATGGGGCCGAAAAACGGCGATTTTTGGGTGGTTTTGGGGCAAAACAGAGCATTTTGTGTGCAGAGCACGGCTTTTTTGGGGTAAATAAGGCAGTTTTGGGGCAAATCTGTCATATTTTGGGGTCATCGTGGCTGTTTGGGGGGAAACGAGTCGTGTTTTGGGGGAAACAGTTTTTGGGGCAAATGTGGTGGTTTTGGGGGGAGTGTGTTGTTTTGGGACAAACTTATCATATTTTGGGGCAAATGTGGCAGTTTTGGGGCAAAACGTGGCACTTTTTGGGGGCAGACGTGGTGGTTTTGGGGCAGACATGTCAGGTTTGGGGCAAAATGTGGCACTTTTTGGGGCCAACGCGTCACGTTTTGGGGTCAATGTGGTGGTTTTGGGGTATTGAGGGTAAACGTTGTGGTTTGGGGAACCACACTGGGGGAAATATTGGTGTTTTTGGGTCCTGTGTTGGGTTTTGGGTCCCCTCTTGGGTTTTGGGGTGCCGTGTTGGGTTTTTGGGGTGCCGTGTTGGGTTTTGGGGTCCCCTCTTGGTTTTTGGGGTGCCGTGTTGGGTTTTGGGGTCCCCTCTTGGGTTTTGAGGTCCCCTCTTGGGTTTTGGGGTCCCCTGTTGTGTTTTGGGGTACCATGTTGGGTTTTAGGGTCCCCCGTTGGGTTTTGGGGGAACTCTTGACCTTTTGGGGCCATCACGTTGTTTTTGGGGTTCCATGTTGGATTCTGGGGAAACTATGGGGTTATTTGGGTAACATGTTGGGTTTTGTGGGGAACTCTTGGTACTTTGGGATGCCAGGTTGGGTTTTGGGGGGACCACGTGGTTTTTTTGGGTACCATGTTGGGTTTGGGGAGAACTCTTGGCATTTTGGGGATACTTTGGGTTTTAGGGTCCCACGTTGGGTTTGGGGGGAACTCTTGGCATTTTGGGGGTATCATGTTGGGTTTTGGGGGAACTCTTGGAGTTTTGGGGGAACCGCGTGGTTTTTTGGGGTACTGTGTTGGGTTTTGGGGCAACTCTTGGCATTTTGGGGGTATCATGTTGGGTTTTGGGGGAACCACGTGGTTTTTTGGGGTACCGTGTTGGGTTTTGGGGGAACTCTTGGCCTTTTTGGGGTATGGTGTTGGGTTTTGGGGTCCCTGTGGTGCGTTGGTGCATCTCTGAATGCTTTGGGAGCTGCAATGGCCTCTGAACCCCAAAGCATTGAGGGGCAGCTCCGCCCTCACTGCCAGCGTTGCCCCAAATTAACGTTTATTGCACTAATTGTATGCTAATTGTATGCAAACGAGGCTGGGTGAGAGCCCAGCCATCCCGCTCATTCTGGTGAGGCAGTCAGTGATGGCTGCAGGTTGTTGTAGGGCCAATGTAGGGTGGCCATCTTGGTCTCGTGGTTGCCATCTTGGCCTTCCTAGTGGCCATCTTGGCCTCGTGATGGCCATCTTGGCCTTCCTGGTTGCCATTCTTGGTCTCGTGGTTGCTATCTTGGCTTTCCTAGTGGCCATCTTGGCCTCGTGATGGCCATCTCGGCCTTGTGATGGCCATCTTGGCCTTGTAGTTGCCATTCTTGGCCGTCCTGGTTGCCATTCTCGGCCTTGTGGTGGCCATCTTGGCCTCGTGGTTGCCATCTTGGCCTTCCTAGTGGCCATCTTGGCTTTGTGATGGCCATCTTGGCCTTGTAGTTGCCATTCTTGGCCTCGTGGTTGCCATCCTGGCCTTCCTAGTGGCCATCTCGGCCTCATGGTGGCCATCTTGGGCTTCCTAGTGGCCATCTTGGCCTCGTGATGGCCATCTTGGCCTTCCTGGTTGCCATTCTTGGCCTCGTGGTTGCTATCTTGGCTTTCATAGTGGCCATCTTGGCCTTCCTGGTTGCCATTCTCGGCCTTGTGGTGGCCATCTTGGCCTCGTGGTTGCCATCTTGGCCTTCCTAGTGGCCATCTTGGCCTCGTGGTTGCCATTCTTGGCCTCGTGGTTGCCATCTTGGCCTTCCTAGTGGCCATCTTGGGCTCCTGCTGGCCATCCTGGTGGCCATCTCAGGCTCCTGCCAGCACCCACGCGACCCCCAGCTCCGCTCCGGTGGGGTTCTCCCTTCCCTTTCCTCTCCCCCCCCAGGACCCCAGCAGACCCCACGCTGACGATGTCGACCCCGGACCCCCCGCTGGGTGGAACCCCTCGGCCGGGCCCCTCCCCAGGCCCGGGCCCGTCACCGGGCGCCATGTTGGGCCCCAGCCCCGGCCCCTCGCCCGGCTCCGCGCACAGCATGATGGGACCCAGCCCCGGGCCCCCCAACGCCGGACACCCGCTGCCCCCCCAGGGGCCCGGCACCTACGCTCAGGACAACATGCACCAGATGCACAAGGTGAGCACCCCAAAAATGGCTGCCCCATAGCAGCACGGCCAAAATGTGCGCCGGGTGCTGGAGGTGAGGACCCCAAAAATGGGTTCCCCATTGGAGGATGACCAACCCATACCCTGGGTGCTGGAGGTGAGGACCCCAAAAATGGGTTCCCCATTGGAGAGTGGCCAACATGGGCACTGGGAGCTTGAGGTGAAGACCCCCAAAATGGGTTCCCCATTGGAGGGTGGCCAACATGGGCACTGGGAGCTTGAGATGAAGAAGACCCCAAAAATGGGTTCCCCATAGGAAGATGACCAAAATAAGCCCTGGGTGCTGGAGGTGAGGACCCCCAAAATGGGTTCCCCATTGGAAGATGACCAACACTGGGAGCTTGAGCTGATGACCCCAAAAATGGGTTCCCTATACGAAGGTGACCAACACGTGTTGGATGCTGGAGCTGAAGATCCCAAAAATGGGTTCCCCATAGGAATGTGATCAACACGTGTGTTGGGTGCTGTAGGTGAGGACCCCAACAGTGGGTTCCCCATAGGAAGATGACCAAAATGTGCCCTGGGTGCTGGAGGTGAGGACCCCCAAAAATGGGTTCCCCATTGGAGGGTGGCCAACACGGGCACTGGGAGCTTCAGGTGAAGACCCCAAAAATGGGTTCCCCATTGGAGGATGACCAACCCATACTGTGGGTGCTGGAGGTGAGGACCCCAAAAATGGGTTCCCCATTGGAAGATGACCAACACTGGGAGCTTGAGCTGAAGACCCCAAAAATGGGTTCCCTATAAGAAGGTGACCAACACGTGTGTTGGGTGCTGTAGGTGAGGACCCCAAAAGTGGGTTCCCCATAGGAGCATGGCCCAAATGTGCCCTGGGTGCTGGAGGTGAGGACCCCAAAAATGGGTTCCCCATTGGAAGATAACCAACCCATACACTGGGTGCTTGAGGTGAAGACCCCAAAAAATGGGTTCACCATGGGAGCATGGCCCAAATGTGCCCTGGGTGCTGGAGGTGAGGACCCCAAAAACGGGTTCCCCATAGGATGACCAACATGTGTGTTGGGTGCTGGAGGTGAGGACCCCAAAAGTGGGTTCCCCATGGGAAGATGACCAACCCATACACCGGGTGCTTGAGCTGAAGACCCCAAAAAATGGGTTCCCCATAGGAATGTGATCAACACGTGTTGGATGCTGTAGGTGAGGACCCCAAAAAATGGGTTCCCCATAGGAGCATGGCCCAAATGTGCCCTGGGTGCTGGAGGTGAGGATCCCAAAAATGGGTTCCCCATAGGATGACCAACATTTGTGTTGGGTGCTGGATGTGAGGACCCCAAAGAATGGGTTCCCCATAGGAATGTGATCAACACGTGTTGGATGCTGTAGGTGAGGACCCCCAAAAATGGGTTCCCCATAGCAGCATGGCCCAAATATGCCCTGGGTGCTGGATGTGAGGACCCCCAAAATGGGTTCCCCATAGGAGCATGGCCCAAACGTGCCCTGGGTGCTGGAGGTGAGGACCCCACCATGGGTTCCCCACAGGAGGACGACCAACACATTTGTTGGATACTAGAGGTGAGGACCCCAAAGATGGGTTCCGCATAGGATGACCAACATGTGTGTTGGGTGCTGGAGGTAAGGACCCCAAAGATGGGTTCCCCATAGGAAGATGGCCAACCCATACACGGGGTGCTTGAGCTGAAGACCCCAAAAATGGGTTCCCCATAGGAGCATGGCCCAAATGTGCCCTGGGTGCTGGAGGTGAGGACCCCAAAAACGGGTTCCCCATAGGATGACCAACATGTGTGTTGGGTGCTGGAGGTGAGGACCCCAAAAATGGGTTCCCCATTGGAAGATGACCAACCCATACACCGTGTGCTTGAGGTGAAGACCCCAAAAAATGGGTTCCCCATAGCAGCATGGCCCAAATATGCCCTGGGTGCTGGAGGTGAGGACCCCAAAAAATGGGTTCCCCATAGGAGCATGGCCCAAACGTGCCCTGGGTGCTGGATGTGAGGACCCCAAAAATGGGTTCCCCATAGGAGCATGGCCCAAACGTGCACCTCCATAAGAGCATGGCCCAAACGTGCCCTGGGTGCTGGATATGAGGACCCCAAAAACGGGTTCCCCATAGGAGCATGGCCCAAACGTGCACCTCCATAAGAGCATGACCCAAACGTGCCCTGGGTGCTGGAGGTGAGGACCCCACCATGGGTTCCCCACCGGTGCATCATGGCGCCCACCTCCCAGCTCCACGTGGGGCGACGTGGGAACGCGGCCCGGTGGGGGGGCCCAGAACCGAGTGCTGCTCTCCCCCCGCAGCCCATGGAGTCGATGCATGAGAAGGGGCTGGCCGAGGACCCCCGCTACGGGCAGATGAAGGGGATGGGGATGCGGCCCGGCGCGCACGCGGGGATGGGCCCTCCGCCCAGCCCCATGGACCAGCACTCACAAGGTCGGTGCCTCCCGCCATTAAAATGAGCCAAAACCGGGCCGAAATGGGATTTCATCCGTGGGAACGGGGCCAACAACAGCACGGCGGGCTTCCGGAGCGTGGGAGGCTCTTGGGAGGGTGGGATGGGTTGGGTTGGAAGGGTCCTGAAAGGTCACAGGACCGTGGGATGGGTTGGGTTGGAAGGGTCCTTAAAGGTCACAGAACTGTGGGATGGTTGGGTTGGAAAGCAGCTTGAAGATCATAGAACTGTGGGGTGGGTTGGGAGGGTCCTGAAAGGTCACAGGACCGTGGGATGGGTTGGGTTGGAAGGGTCCTGAAAGGTCACAGGACCGTGGGATGGTTGGGTTGGAGAAGAGCTTGAAGATCATGGAAATGTGAGATGGGTTGGGAGGGTCCTTGAAGGTCAGAGAATGATGAAATGGGTTGGGAGGGTCCTTGAAGGTTGCAGAAGCACAGAGTGGGTTGGAAGGGTTGTTAAACATCTCAGAAGCGTGGGATGGGTTGGGTTGGAAGGGTCCTTAAAGATCACAGAACAGGTTGAGTTGGAAGGGTCCTTAAAGGTCCTAGGAGGGTGAAGTGAATTGGGAAGGTCCTTACAGGTCACAGAATCACAGAATGGGCTGAGTTGGAAGGGTCTTTAAAGATCCTGGGATGGTGCAGTGAATTTGGAAGGTCCTTGCAGCTGACAGGAGCACAGAATGGGTTGAGTAGGAAGGATCCTTGAAGATCCTAGGCTGGTGGTGTGAATCGGGAAGGTCCTTGCAGCTGACAGAATCATAGAATGAGTTGAGTTGGGAGGGTCCTTAAAGATCCCATCCTGGTGTTGTGAATCGGGAAGGTCCTTGCAGCTGACAGGAGCACAGAACAGGTTGAGTAGGAAGGATCCTTGAAGATCCAAGGCTGGTGGTGTGAATCGGGAAGGTCCTGCAGGTCATAGAATCACAGAACGGGTTGAGTTGGAAGGGTCCTTGAAGATCCCAGCCCGGTGTTGTGAATCGGGAAGGTCCTTGCAGCTGACAGGAGCGCAGGCTGGCTGGCTTTGGGTCCCTTGTGCTCACAGAGCTGCTCTCTCCCAGGCTACCCGTCCCCGCTGGGCGGCTCGGAGCACGCCTCCAGCCCGGTGCCGGCCAACGGCCCGTCCTCCGGCCCGCAGCTCCCGGCCGGCCCCAGCGGCGTCGCCATGGACGGCGGCGACCCGCAGGCTCTGGGGCAGCAGAACCGCGGCCCGACTCCCTTCAACCAGAACCAGCTGCACCAGCTGCGGGCTCAGATCATGGCTTACAAGATGCTGGCCCGCGGGCAACCGCTGCCCGACCACCTGCAGATGGCCGTGCAGGGCAAGCGGCCCATGGGCGGCATGCAGCAGCAGATGCCCACTCTACCTCCACCCTCCGTGTCCGGGACGGGAGCCGTGCAAGGAGCGGTGCAAGGGCCCGGAGCGGGACCCACACCTCCCAACTACAACAGACCTCATGGTCAGCTGGCTGCCGGGGGTGGGGG